GACAATGGGCTCTATTTCATTTTACTTTATGGTTTTATTTATATTATCATTTAACCAATTGTATTGATTTGATTGTGTGAATGTTATGTTTACACATGTTTAAGCTGTTTTGTTTTTTTATCTGTACCTTTTTTATGTTTGATTTTTTTCTGTAAAACACTTCGGTTTTATCACTGCTTAACAAATAAAATGTTGGATGCTGTTCAAATAGAAGGATTTTGTTTGGTATTTCTTTCCTTTTTATTTGTTATAATGCGTAACCAGGGCTTTTTATTTCTTATTTAAGCACTCCAAAGCAGGTCTCTAAAGCTAAAATAATACTTAACTACTTCAGCAAGAGCAAGCTGCATTTTAAGGGAAGCATCTAGGATGTAGAGCAGGGGCAAGGAGGGTGATTTTTCATTTATCATTATGGGCAATTTGAGATCGTGTGACAGCCAAATGTAGTTCAGCCTGGTGAGATTCACAGAGAAATGCTGCTAGAAGGAAAAGTTAGAGATTAATGAAAAAAGCTATTTTGCGCTCGGGCCCCGGAAGAAATCTTTAATTGTATGAGCAACCTAGGAAAAGGGTTAGAGTAGCGCTTTTATTAGAAAACATGCATTTAAAGTAAGTGTAAGAAATTGATTACACAAAGCAGAAGAAGCCCTGCTTGTTTTAAGTTCACAGAGAAGCATCAAAACAAGCACTGACATGAAGCTTTCTGTTGAATGATTCTAATATTTTACTGTGTACTTGATTGGTGTTTTTAGGTATTCTGTGGCCCATTAGTTCTGAAGATTTAGGATGTAAAGGACTTTGAATTGCCTTGCCATTCAAATGTGCTATATAAATAAATGTTTTTTACTTAACATATTTAATTTACAGAATGTGATGCATTGTGTCTCTCACATGGAGAGGATATCAGTGCAATGACTCAGTGTGTGACGGATTACATAAACTTCTGTATAGATAACACCATCCCCACCAGAAAAGTGAAAAGGCCTCCCACACAATAAACCTTTGATCACCAGTGATTGAAAGAAACTTTTATACAAGAGAAAAAACCCTCAAAAAGAGAGACGGAATCAACGTGGAGTATACAGAAGCAACTTAAGGTCAAGATAAAAGAAGCAAGGAGGCATACAGGAAGAGGCTGGAAAGAAAGGTTCAGCAGAACAATATCAGATATAGACTTGTGGTCAGGGATGAAGAAGATCACACGCTTCAAGCAGAAGGATGATAAGAAAGATGGAAGTCTGGACAGAAGTTCCATGTATACTCAGGCAGTTTTTTTTGTTGTTTGAAACCAAAATGAAACAAAAAAAAGCACCAGTATTTTAATCTTTTGTTTACCGAACCCTCCAATGGACTGGCGACATGTGCAGGCTGTATATATAAGTGTCAAAAAACGGGACAGATGGACTCAGTATTCAAGGTGAGACAGCACTAGGAAAGTTAGTTTTATTAAGAGAAAAACTAACAGACAGGCTGTGGAACTATGAACGCAGCAACTGCAGGGGCAGGCGCAACCCATCACTGATTCTGTAGAGAGAAACACAGGTGTGTGACCACGATCATCTGACAGGAGATGATTATCAGAGTGTTTCACTTACCTGGTTTAACAGTTCAGTCTATCTCTGCATGGAGGGCAGGTTTGATCGGACGGAGTGCCAAACAGGATCCAGTGCAGAGCTGTCCAGGGTGTCCCCGATCAGAGCAGCAAACACAGGGAGCTGACAGGAGACCGATGCAGGTCTGAACTGAACAGTTCTGAGATCCAGGAGTCCTCAGCTCAATCTGGAGTTCAGATCCACACAGGAACAAACAGAAATTGGGTTCCAGGAATCCACAGAGTGTTCAGGCAGGTTCATTGTTCAGAGTCAAACAGATCCAGAAGCGTTCCCACACAGACACGCAGAGAAGCAGACAGACAGGCTCAGTGATTGAAGGAACAGAGAAAAGACGTTGTGCCAGGACTTCTGCAGGACTTTAAACTCTACTCCTCCCAGGAGCTAGGCTTCTTAAATACAGGCTTCTTCATAAAACAAGGAAACAGGAAACAAGACTCACCCCCAGAAAAAAATAAAATTAATAATATTTTCCGAATTGTTTAACTTAACCCAACATTTTAAATACTTAATAACATTTATCCTCATAATTTCTAATTTATCTTTAAGTCATCGTCACTCTGCAAGTTTCTGATGATCCTATTGGTTTTCCCCATCATGCTTTCCACCATTTCCCATGTTAAATCTCTAAATTCAAGATACTTTTCTGCAGCTTTCACTATTATTCTGATTATTTTGGTTTTTCTCATTGTCTGAGCACTACAATTGATCACTTCTACCATGAAAAGAACAAAATCTTTATTTTTTACAATCAATGAATCTATTTCAATTTTGGGACACTGCTCCAGAGGTTTTGAACTTACCATGTGCTGACCTGTTGGTTTGGGTTTTTCTGACTGGGATGGGATCCTTTTTGCAGCTTCAGCATGTTATTCCGAGCTTAAATTTCACTTTTTAATTTCCTCAGACCTTTTACTCCCTTCACACCCGCGATATGCAGAAGGAAGTTCTCCACCACAGTTACAGCATTGGATTTTAACTTCTTTCCCACATTTTTTCGTGCTCTCCAGCATACCTTCCACATCGCTGTTTTCCTTTACATACTGCTGCTATATGTCCAAATTTTTGGCATTTGAAGCATCTCGGAGGTGGAGGATTGTAATTTTGACATTGTAGCTCATGTAACTAATGAAAACCTTACTAGGTTTCTTTAAATTTGATCAACAATGATAAGCTGTCACACCTTTCTCAATTTCTTGTTGTTTTTGACCATTTCACTTCTTTTACTTTTGCACCACTTATGTTTCTAGAATCTCTTTTTCTGTCATAATCGGTTTAAGTGATCTGACCCACATGCAGAGAACCACTCAGAGACCAAGGGTAAAAGTTTACCAGGTTTATTGAATGTTGATGAAACACAGAAGTAGGAGCTGGAACTCAGTAGACTGGAACCGGAAAGTCTGAAGGAGAAGTCACAGTGATCAGTTCAGAGAACGTAGCAAAATTGAATGAGGCTTGAATATAACTGGAGAATATAGCTTTTCAGTTATTTTTAGAGGCACTCCTCCAATGACTCCCCTGCTAATCCTTTTGTTCTCCACCAAGCCGCGCTGAACTCTTTTCCTCTCAATCTTGTTAATAGGAATGGCTTTTCCTTGTTGGGCACTGTCTCAGTTGATTAACAGGTCTCCACTATAGAGTATAGTTTATTTATGGATTTTGTTAACTGGACCGGATTCCAATCTGTAAAAGAGTCTGCCTGATTAACTAGTTTGAATATGACTTCGTAATCATTTTGTTTACCTGTGGAATGTATAGATTGTTCATCACTTGACTGTTCTGAACTGGTCTCCCCTTTAATTGATCTCAGCTTTTTCCACTTTTTCTCATTTTTTGACTCTACTCTCTTCCAATCTTCTTCGTTTTCACTATTTCCTTCTTCCCACAAGAATCACTTCCTGTTTCCTCGTTACTCATGACCCAGGACATTCTCCACAAGTGACTTAGAAACACACGCCAGGCATCACCTCGCTTCCCTGTGTCTCTCTGCCATCTGGCACCAATCGCTTGGACTGATATGAATATAAACGACCTGACGCAGGTGGATGAGGTGAGTGATAATTAGAAAACTCGAAAGAGTTAGGCAGGTGAGTGAAATGAACAATTAAGCCATCCGGGCAGATCATGACAAAAATATGAGGGTAAGGACTTTAAATGGATTAAAATAGAAGCTGTCATTATTTATTTAAATATAAAATAAATATGATGAGCTCCATCAGTCAGTTAACTCCTCAACTCAACTCAAGCTCTATTTATAAAGCTCATGTAAAACAACCGGGGTTGACCAAAGTGCTGTACAGGAATCACACAGGAACATAAGATAAAAACTGAGGCTTAATTAGAACATCACTTGAGTCCTGAAAATGAGTCTTATGGTAGTGTGGAACAATTAGTTAATTCTAAGGGTAACACTTTACATAAAGTACACAAAATTTAATGTTACACAAGTCTTAATGTATATTACAACAAAACATTAACAAATCTGATAAAACGTTAACAATAGATAGAACTGGACAATGATCTGCAATGCATTTGCTTCACCTGCTTTACAGCTGCTGAACGCACTAATGCATCCAAAAAGGATGCATTATTGAATTGAAAAAGCTTCTTGGATGGGAAACGAAACATCTTCAAACTTGGAAACAAAGTCCAGTGGATTGTTTTTATTTTCTTTTTTTGGAATCCACAAAGGAGTCTTGAAAAATGCCGATACAAGAAAAAAAACAACTCAAAAATCTGCCTGAAAGAACGGCTGGCCAACGTTTGCCTTATCTTAGCTCTGCATTTTATAGAAATTCTAATGTTTTGTAGAAGTTGTAATGTTTTTGCTGTAATGTTTGTTGATTTAAGAGATTATTTTGGTACTTATTTTTTGCTTGGCACTAGAGACCACGGTTGGAGAAACTTCCCAGCATAATACTGTTCCACTTAAGAAACTTGATTTGGTCAGATATGTTTAAAAAAATACAGTATAGACGTAGAAGGGTTAGAAAAATGATGCGCCGTGAATAAATGTCCTGACCGGCAGAGAAATTTTGACATCTCAGGGTATACAGAGAGTGGAGATGTATCAAGGATGTTGGAAAACAATAAAAGTAGAAAAGTTCATGGATGTATTTAAAAAGGATGTTTAGAGGGCTGGTGTGACAGAGGAGGATGAGAGGTAGAAGGTTCGATACAGGCAGAGGATTTTTGGCTTAAAATTAACCTAGGCTCTAACAATGGTTTTTTTAATAAACAATATTTCCGTTAGTTATCTAAGTATTTTGGCTTTTCTCTTCTTTGACATTAACAACAGATCTGGCATCCTGTATTTTATTTTTACAATACAAACACTTTAAAACAAACACACAAAAACAGTTTTATACATGTTGAACAGCTATTCTTTATTAATTAAGTAATTTATTAATTAAGTTCAAGGTTTTCAAGATGTGAAGTTTGACATAAGTTTCAGTCACATAGCTTACGACAATACTTATTTCAGAGATAAGGTAAAAAATGAGAAAATTATCAATTATTACTCTTAAAGGTGATTGTGTTTGAATTCCAGAATACAGTAGCAGGAAAAACAGCAGGTATTGATGTCTGAAGTCAACAGCTTTATTTCCTTCAAACCGTTTATCATTAATAGCCTGCACATACCAACTAAAACATAGTCCTCTTTGTTGTTTGCAGAAAGTGTAGGTGTATCAATCATTCATTTTAGGTTGCCATGGGTTCCGACCCCAATTCTGCTTACTTGTGGGTGAACCGTTCTTGCCTTCTGAGAAAAGACACTCACAAACCTTAATTTCAACAAACTAACCACAGCTGACCTACAGAGCTTTAAAGACCTAAATAAGCACACCATTAAATTTGATGTATGTCAGTTTATTAAACTCCAATTTCTATCAAAAATAAAAAACAAATATAATAGAGGAGAATAAAGCAAATAGAAAATCATTCTCAGACTTACAATAAAAGTCCATAGAGACAAACAAAGTAGGAGCCAAACAAAAAGCTGGTGTCAGCATGTTGTAATCAAAACCACAAACACCTTTTTTTTTTTCCCCAAACACAGACAAACTTCCTCCTCACAATCATCTCACATATTATGTATCTAGAATATGCTTCAGCATAAAGCAAACTCTTACTTGGATTAAGATCATTTTCCTCCAACATTGAAATCTGATCACAATATATAAAAACATTTACTTGAGCACCAAAGAAATCCTAATATTTTTCTGTACATCAGAATCTCTGAATCTATATCAGACAGAGACCCCTTTCTCCTTGGTCAACGGGCGCTGGAAATGACTCACACAATCCTTTCCATGATCACATCAACATTTTCCCTCCTGTCTGCAATAATCTGAGCAGCTGTGGAGAAAAAGAAAAGATGTTACAAAAATTTGTTGAAAATTCAATTCAATTAGATACATATATATCTATATATTTTCGTTGTATCTTGTCATGTCTCGCCAGGCATCCCTTACGCCAAGCATGCATGCAGCGACAGTGGAGAGGAAAAACTCCCTTTTAACAAGAAGAAACCTCCAGCAGAATAAAAGTAAACACTCTAAAACAAGATGTTCAGGATAGAGACTCAGAAGAGTACCCTTACCTCTCTTCCTGTCCCTATATATGAGCCCGAGTAGGATGGTGGACATTAGGTAAGGTATTCCTACAACCAAGTGACACAAAAGTCTGGAAGCAGGGATTGAAACTGAGGTTGTGGGTGGAGCTGAGGAAGAGAGTGTCACAGGTTCTGTAGATAAACACAAGAAAAATTTTTAAAATGCAAATTTTAACACTGGTGTTTTCAATAAAAGTATTTTTGTTTATCAAAGTTCAACTTTATGTATAAAATATTGTCATATGTTTCCTCTCACCATTGAAATCAACATGTCAATGAAGAGGTAAATAAGGTCAATGACCAAAGCAATGCGTAACCAGGTGCGATAAAAAGCATCATATGCAGAGGTATAAAGCCACTACTTGACTAAAGAAGTGGAGGCATATTCCTTAGAATGATAAATCCCACATCTTCATCTGGCAATCTGATGGAGGAGTTTGCAGTTTTGGTAAACATAAGAACAATGCTGGTCTAAAGTTTGCTGGAGGAGATGTTGTATTTAAGAAGCAGGGCCTGGACTTTTAGGGGCATTTTCTACCGCCTCCGCTTGGCCAGGTTCTACTCTACTACGCCAATTTTCAAACCTTTCCATTGCCGTTTTTTCAGTGCATTTATTGGCTTTTGTTGGCCCTCTGATCATAGCTAATCCTAAACACAAAAAAAACACCATAACCAATCAGAAAAAACAATCAAACAATGTAATTGTAGGACAATTTGTGGGGTACAGTAGAGCCTGTGGTAAAATGGCATATATTCCCTATAAATAAACAACAGAAAATGTTGTAAATTAGCATACCTAAATACAGTATTTTGAAAATCCCAGGCTCCCAATTTTATGGGAGCAGTTTGGAGATGGCCAATATCCTTTCAGACATGAATACAAAGTTCATTAACATATGGATTGGTGAGATAGTTGAGAATGACCTTGGTTGGGCTCCAAAGAACACAGTCTTCATTCGAACACATATGGAATAAAATAGGGTGGGATCTGATATAAGCCATGTAATCAAACATCTGTGACCTCATGTACCTCTAGAAAAATTGTTAAAAATACCCAGAAACATGCTTCTAAACCTTTTTGACAGCCATCCTATGAGACTTAAAGCTGTTATGTTATTTTATTATTAACTTAATTTCCTTATTCTACTTTTATTTTTCTTCTATTTTATTATCTAATTCATGTAACATTGCAAAAAAACAAAAATAATCCTTTTTTCTTAAAATCAGTGTATTTTTTCTTGAAATAAGGATTGAAGTGAGACACTTTGCCAATGGAACAAGAGAATTTACACTTTAAACAAGAAATTTTTTTCATTTTAAGAGTAAAAATACTAATTCCATTGGCAAATCATCTTATTAACCTGCTCAAACTAAGGGAAAATACACTTAATTTTAGACATTTTTACTCATTTTGAGATCGTTTTTGCAGTGAAAACATTTTGAATTGTCCGTGTACTGAATTATGCTATACAAATAAACTTGCCTTGCCTTGCCTTATAGCTACAGAGGGGGGCCTAGCAATATTGAGGCTATTAGAATAAGAAAGGAATGCCACTTCAAGTTCATATGTGAGTTAAGGTGAGTGAACCCTTTTGTCAATAGAGCATCAAAAGGCAGACTCCAAAACTTAAACTCAATAAGGCAATCTTATACCTTTGTACTTGGTATTTGCATAAATATAATGAATATAAAGTATTTTCCTCACTGAGTTGAATCTCTTGATTGTTCCAGTCCCCCAAAACTGTCAGCCAGCTGCCTTCTGATTCTCCAAGCCCCGAGGCGCTGCAGGTGTAGAGTCCCTCATCTGATCTGGAAGCACTGACAATGATCATCTCTCCTGAAGTTTTACTCCTGATTATGTGGCCATCTTTATAGAAGTTGTACTCATGGCCGGAAGAGTTTTTCTCAGCTTTACAGCGCAGAACCACAGCAGCTCCCTCTGACACCGGCATCACAGGACTCTCCAGAATCACTGTACGGTCTTTGGAAAAAGAAAAAGAAAAAAAAGCTCTTTAAATATTTTAGTCTAGTTTTAGGATTTACTGCCAAACACAATGGGTTGATGAAGTTTTCAGTTTCAAAGTACAGAGTGGATCTATTCATTATTCAAGACAACATGGACACTTGGGTTAGACACGCAAAGATTGTCAACGATTCAGTGGTCCGATTTTGGTTATTTTGTTGTATTAGTAAATCCGTTTTTTTCACATCTGTATAATATTCCTCTAACTGAGCTTTAAATTTATATAAACATGCTAATTATTTATGATTTAAACGACAGCAAATCTTGTTTTGTTCTACTGCTGCTATTTACAAAATCTTTCTTCTCCTGTTCCTATGTGTCAATGATCCACTAAGAAACAACGAGTCTGTTTAAGAACTGATGTCATCCATGGGATGTCTAAACTAGAATCTCAAAATGACAGAACCTTCTCAACAGTGGCAATACTGGAAAAAGTAGATCTGCACATAGTCTGAAACTAGATAATTCATTTATGTGGACTGGCTTTTAGCACATATTGGACCATTTGTTTTTTTTTTAAAGCTATAGTCCTTTCGACTCTTATTTTGTTGTTTTTCTATTTTGTCATTATTTTTCATTTTTTATTCTACTTCTACTTTACTTTCTAAAACTAACAGAAAAAAATACTTAAGTGCAAAGTTTGTAAAAAATTTTAACCACCTTAATAATGCAGTGAATTATTTATTTTATATTTGTTGCAGGGTGTACCACCCCCTCCCCTATAGCTCTGGAAAATTAAGGAAAAGCTTATCAAAACTGAAAAGCCCACTGACCCCACCATCATAGATTTTCTGTACCAGTTATGGTGATGTTGACCACATTGCTTTGTTCCTGTCGATCCGACTCGCACCAGTAGACCCCTGTGTCTGTTGGGTAGGTGTTTCCAATGATGCAGCTGAAGCCTGAAGAGGCGAATCCCCAGCCTGAGGAGCAGAGCCTGACCCCGCTATCAGAAGTATTCCTCTTTACCTTCCAGTCAGTGGAGTTCAAAGGATCCTCACAGCTTAAGGAGATGGATTCATAGCGGAAGAATTGGGACCGATCAGGGCTGACCTTCAGACAGGCTGGGAGGAGGAAAGGATGGTTCAAATGAAGCAAAAGAGAGCAAAGAATATTAGGGAAAAAGAGAAAAGAAATAGAAAATTAACCAGAATGAAAATCCATTACAATTGACTGAAAATTACACGAAGTACTGATGGAGGTAAAGAGTAAATACAACAAAATTATAAGAGAAAGATTATTTAATTAAAAGGTTTAAATAAAGTACAGCTTTATGAGTTTCAATTTAACAGGAAATTTAAAGAGGAAGTGGCATAGAAAGGGTGAGCGTGTCCTCCAAACAAATAAAATCAAAGTACGTGGAATTAAAAACCTACATTTTCAATACATGATAGGCCATCCTCACACGACTTAAAAGGAATATTAAAGGCTACGTCAGATAATAATTCAACCCTAAAACAAGTACATGAAAAGATATATGTAGATATTTAACATTTAATAAATCTAAAGAGTAGTTTTGAACGGATATTGCTGTGTTTATACTCACTCAGCATCAGACACAGCGGTGTTACCAGCATCCTGTCCAACCGTCGAATGACTGAAAAACCCTCTGCTCTTTTCACTTCCTTTGTGAAAAACAAAGACCCTGCTGGTTTTTCAGAGACTGTAAAGTGTCCAAACTGTTCTCTTTAGATGAAATGTAGAAAACTATTTTAAAAACTAGTAAAGTGATAGCAAACAGTTTTCAGTTGCAGCAGCACACATTTGAAAACAGTTTAACAGTGTTAATTGATCAAAATATGTAAAGCAGATTTATGTTTGGCTGTAAAGTAAGTGGGTCCCAAATGGAAATGTTAATTTGGCTATGTTCTACTTTTACCTCTACTCGATACAAAATATGTCATATATGTTAAAAAATATCTACTGCAACCGGGCTGAAAGTTGGACTCCATTTGAGATTGTCTGTGGAATTCTACATGAATCCCTTGCAGTCAGCCCAACTGTGGGGAAGTAAATCGGCCCCATGCTTTTAAATACTTTAATTCCTGCCATTTGTGCAGGAAAATTCCCCTCAGATTAGTCAGACAATCTTTACCAAAAGTCTTCTTATTCAACCCTCTTCTAAACAAGCTGTTTTGGATTTCCCCTTTGGATGCCCCTGTCCTCCTGAAAGCTGCCCCCGACAACCAACAATCCTGACAACCATTCAGAGTTCATAAAAATAGCCCAGGAGCACAAAATAAAACATTAGATGAAGGCCATAGCTTTACAGATAGGACGCTACAGACTGCTCTGTACAGCGTATTTCCCCTGATGACATCATAAAGCTTGATCTTCAAACAGCACATTTTGCGCACAGGAGGAGAAATGATGCGAGAGATGTGAAAGGAGTTCATTTGTAAACCTCATAAACAAGGAAACTGAAGCCTGACTGGTATAAAATGTTTATAAAGTTAATTCTGCATAATATAGGGCCTTTAAGTTTTTCAAGTTAAGTACTTACATGGTATATATACCAAGTGAGTACTTACCTTGCAAGCTAGAAGAATTGTTGCGAGAATGTGTTTGTGAAATCAGAAACTCCCCAAAATACATCTTGTCAGAAGCCAAAAGATGCATTAACCTCAAAATACAGAAATATTTAGAACCAATGAAATGCAGTAACATGCTGACGTCAACCAAAAACGCCAGGTTGAAGCAAAACAAACATGGTTGCATCGATGGATATGGGTATGACACTTCCCCTCCTTGCCTGCTGGTGACGCCTGTGCATGGGAGCCTCCCTGCCGTCACTCTGCCCCCGGGTAGCTGTGGCTACATCGTAGCTTGCTACCATTAGTGCAGGGATGACAGAATGTTATGTAAAGTTTTTAAACAATCCTTTTAAGTACAGGTTATACTTTTTTGATGATAAAATTAAACTACTCAAATATATTTTTCCCTCTAATTTCCAAGGTCCTGTTGGTACCTGGTCACTTAGACATCAGATAATATTAAAAAGGATCAGGAACACAGCTGGACTGCCAGATAGAACCAATAATAAGTGAAGCTTGAGTTGTGATCAGCACATCTGTTGCTCATCTGATAACATTTTTTACACTTACTGTATTTAAGAAATGACCTATGCTGGCGCAAGTCTGTGCATCTAACATAATGTAAAATTATTCTAATTCTGGAGAAACCAAACCTATAGGTTTATTGTTGTCCTGTAAATATTACATTTATAACCTTAGATTGTACAGTAAAAATGTTAACAACCAATCAAACTCTGGACATTATTCTTACAGTAGGATAACTATAGAACTTTAGCAAATTAAATTATCAAATTTTTTTTAATCCTAGAGCCAAATTTTAAACATTTCCAGAACTTTTAGTTGATCTGTGCTAAGATCATCAAATTAACCTTTTTTTTTTAAATGATTGTCATTCTAAATGGAGAAGAAAAAACACTTGCATATCTTCAAACAATGGACAGTTTTAAGAGTTCTTCAATGTCATAGATGACTTATGAAAAGAACAGAGCTGAATTATAAAAAAGCTCCTACTGGCACCAACAAAAAAAAAAAAAACCTACACTTTATGTAGTTTTAAAGATTATTTATCATATTAACATTATAATATGAAATAGGGAGAAAGATGATTAAATGGGCGTGGAAATGCATGTGTTTTTAAAGTATTTTACTTCATACCTATTTACACAAATGAATATGCATAACTATTCAGTTTGAATCAAACAGGGCTTTAAAAGCATTTATTATTAATCATATTGATCTAGTGTAAAAAGAACAGAAAAAGAAAGTGTCCCAGTATTCATATACATTTTCCCAATAACATTGTATAAAAGCCATTATCCAAAATCTTAATTTAGCAAGAAATAAGCTACCATATAATACCATTATTTGCTTTATCTCATTACCGTGGTAAATACAGAAGACGTTTACATACAAGTTAACCTTATAGAAAGTGCTGTCCTGAAAAGGACAAAATATAGCCAAGTCATTCAACACAATCCAATATGGCTGCCTAACTTTAAAAAAACGTAAATAAATTTGTGGTTTTCACTTCAAGTCGAGGTCCAGTGTCTCACAGTTGTTAGATTTTTCTCTACTCCAGAAAAACACACCTTAATCTAATGAGGTAATTAGCAGGACTTGGAGAAATTGGCCTTCATCTGAAATCATCAAATCTGTAAAGATGTTCTAGCTGAAGTAGAAGTACCCTAACAGTAACAGATAGGTGCCAGGAGAAAAGTACAGGCAGTAAAAAGGAGGCAGGAAGAGGAAGCAGGAAATATTTTGGCTTTTACCAAAGGGACCTCATAACGTCCCTCGTTGAATTAAGGTGCTTTAGGAAATCCCACAATCCTTTGTGTCACATTACCTGTTAGTACAGCCCACCTCATGGGAATGTACAAAATCACATTATTTCTTTATTTTTAGTCCATTTGACATCTACAAAGATATAAGCACCTTCATCTTTTGGGTTTTATAATGGAGAGCTTTAGCTACATTTTTCACTACATTTTCTTAAATTGCCTTTTTTGTAGTTTTAATGTTGTTGTTTTATTATGTTGGCATTTTAAACCTTGCCCAGGGACTACAGTTGAAAATTAGCTGCTTAGCTAACACTGGCTCATTTACAGAAATGTTTATTAATGTGCACTGTCCCTGTTCAAATAAACACGTAAATAAAAATAAAAATAAATAAATAGTTCATTTTCAGACGACTATGGTCCATATTTTGACAAGAATGATTCTGAAATCGGCACAACATGACGCAGCTTTCCTACCATGGATAGTATAATTTTAGTATTTCTTTTAATATTTCTACTAGAAACAGCAGTTTGTTTTAATCTTTTTCATTTTTAAGGAGCTTTTATTGTGTAGTGACAAAAAAAGATTAACTCAGTCCTTCAGCTTACTGCGCAGCCGCAAGATAATATGGCTGGGTAGATGTAGGAGATTATAATCAGGTAACTTTTTTTTTCTCACTTAAACCACAACCACAATTAAACACTCACAATCACAAATGCTCAGTATTTAAATGCATCAACATACTGTTTTATTGTGGTAAAGGTTGTCTGACTTTGCTGTCAGTGAAAGCTGTCTACTGCTGAGGTAAATCAGCCAGGGCAGCATAACGGTTACTAGAAGAGGGAAAAGGTACAGGGCATGAAGCAATTCTGCGATGAACAATGCCATCACTTCGACCAAGATTAATCAGGGGATCAGTGACAGGATGGGCCTTTTCTGAGGTAGTCAAAGTCTGTCGCTCTAAAGTACTTCTCTGTTCTTGTGATTTTTTAGCCCCTCGGCGAGGACTCCAATTGATATAATTTTTAAGAGCAGACATGTCTGCCCGTCTTGCTTTAAGGTTTGGTCCATCTAGACTGTGTTTGCCCTCAGTGTTGATGTCGGAAGATTGGTTGGGACATCCTGTAAAATTCTCATGGCCATCACCCACATGAAGGGTTCCCTCCTGGGATCTGCAGATGTTCCCATCTCCCCTAGTGCTCTCTGAACTGAAATTAGTGTCTTCTTTCTTCCGACTCCTATTTTTCCTTCTTCCTGTGTTTTCAGACTTTTTTTTCAGAAGAGCAGAGTCTTCGCAGGCAACAGTTTCTAAATCAACTGATGATTTTCTTTGGTTTTGACTTGTTCCCCATCCTGTTCAAAAACAAACAAACAATAGTTAAAACTCATTTCTAGTGAAGTTTTAGCAGGACAACAATTACATTTTTGATAACCTTATTCACATTAGGCTTGACTTAGAAATAATTATGATGATGTTGAGATCTACTTTCTCTTCCTTTTGTGTTTTCTTTGACCTTTAGACACTTTAAGTCTGTTTAAAGACACCAAATTCAAATTCTAACCACATTTTGACAAGTTTCAATGATTCATACATTTGCATCTGCAAAAACCAGGCTTTAAAACAGAGATGCTTGGTTTTCATTATCATCATCATCATCATTGTTCCATTTTTGACAAAGCAATTATAATTACTTATAAAAGTTAAATAGATGCAGTTTATCACATTATGTGTCCTTTATGATGTGACAAAAATCACAACATTGCAACATCTTGCAAAAATCAATGAAACTCTTTGCCCAATAATCTATCATTTTCATAATCATGAACATAAAATCCTGCTGTATGCTCATGATGTTTTGATTTTTTTTGGGCTCCCCTGCAAATTCCATCCCAATATTATATCAACTAATTCAGAATAGTAGCTCTTTTTTTGGGTAAAAATATTTTTTTCTAAAAGTTAAGCCATGCCTCTTTGTTGCTAACTAATGTTAGACCCATATATATCACAGCCATAGGCTGCTCAGTGGCGCAGTGGGTAGCACTGCTGTTGCAGCAAGAAGGAAGCATGCTCAGGAAGAAGGTTCTCCCTGAGCATGCGTGTGTTCTCTCTGGGTACTCTGGCTTCCTCCCAGAGTCCAAAAACATGGTATGTCCTGACGGTCACACACACACTCACTTTCACTCACACACCTAAGGTGTGGACTGGCGACCTGTCCAGGGTGTACCCCACCTCTTGCCCATTGACAGCTGGAGATAGGCACCAGCACCCCTCATGAACCCAATTGGGACAAGCGTGTAAAATCTTGTTCTCTGAATTCATTATATATATCTCTCTGGCAGGGTAGGTACATTAATGAAAGATTATGTGATTTTAACGAATATGGTAAACAATTGGCCTAAAGTCAGGAAACTGGAAGGGTACAGTAATTGCTTCTGTCTGTTGACTCCTATTCATGAGAACCCTGACTTTCAGCCTGGACTGCAAGGCAAACTTGCTGACTGGAAGTATAAGGGCATTAGGGTTGTTGGGGACATGGGAGGCTCAATTCTCACATTTCAACAAGCAAAAAGCAAAAATGAGATCACAGATGAAGACTTTATCAAATTTCTGCAAGTTCATAATCTTATTTTGTGTAATTAGTAATATTTCACTGGTGGTCTTGTTATATCTTCCATACAGGTGCTGGTCATAAAATTAGAATATCATGAAAAAGTAGATTGATTTCAGTAATTCCATTTAAAAAGTGAAACTTGTATATTATATTCATACATTACATACAAACTCATATATTTCAGATGTTTATTTTGTTTAATTTTGATGATTACAAATGACAACAAATGAAAATCTCAAATTCATCATATCAGAAAATTAGAATATTGTGAAAAGGTTCAAAATTGATGGCCCCTGGTGCCACACTCTAATCAGCTAATTAACTCAAACCACCTGCAAAAGCCTTTAAATGGTCTTTCAGTCTAGTTCTATAGGCTACACAATCATGGGGAAGACTGCTGACTTGACAGTTGTCCAAAAGACGACCATCGACACCTTGCACAAGGAGGGCAAGACACAAAAGGTCATCGCTAAAGAGGCTGGCTGTTCACAGAGCTCAGTGTCCAAGCACATTAATAGAGAGGCGAAGGGAAGGAAAAGATGTGGTCGAAAAAAGTGTACAAGCAAGAGAGATAACCGCACCCTGGAGAGGATTGTGAAACAAAACCCATTCAAAAATGTGGGGGAGATTCACAAAGAGTGGACTGCAGCTGGATTGAGTGCTTCAAGAACCACCACACACAGACGTATGAAAGACATGGGTTTCTGCTGTCGCATTCCTTGTGTCAAGCCACTCTTGAACCACAGACAGCGTCAGAAGCGTCTTGCCTGGGCTAAAGAGAAACAGGACTGGACTGCTGGTGAGTGGTCCAAAGTCATGTTCTCTGATGAAAGTAAATTTTGCATTTCCTTTGGAAATCAAGGTCCCAGAGTCTGGAGGAAAAGAAGAGAGGCACTTCATCCACGTTGCTTGAAGTCCAGTGTAAAGTTTCCACAGTCAGTGATGGTTTGGGGTGCCATGTCATCTGCTGGTGTTGGTCCATTGTGTTTTCTGAGGTCCAGGGTCAACGCAGCCACATACCAGGAAGTTTTAGAGCACTTCATGCTTCCTGCAGCTGACCAACTTTTTGGAGATGCAGATTTCATTTTCCAACAGGACTTGGCACCTGCACACAGTGCCAAAGCTACCAGTACCTGGTTGAAGGACCATGGTATCCCTGTTCTTAATTGGCCAGCAAACTCTCCTGACCTTAACCCCATAGAAAATCTATGGGGTATTGTGAAGAAGAAGATGCAGTACACCAGACCCAACAATTCAGAAGAGCTAAAAGCCACTATTAGAGCAACCTGGGCTATCATAACACCTGAGCAGTGCCACAGACTGATCGACTCCATGCCACGCCGCATTGCTGCAGTAATACAGGCCAAAGGAGGCCCAACTAAATACTGAGTGCTGTACATGCTCATACTTTTCATGTTCATACTTTTCAGTTGGCCAACATTTCTATAAATCCTTTGTTTTTATTGGTCTTCAGTAATATTCTAATTTTCTGATATGATGAATTTGAGATTTTCATTTGTTGTCATTTTGTGAAAACGGAGCCGTTTTCCCCCTCTGTTATTAAAGTATAACCGCCGTCTATCACATACAGCGTCGCATCCTTCACTACATTTCCCAGCATGCACCACAGACCGGCCATCATGGCGGCGGCCGATCCAAACATTTCACCCGGTAATTTACACTAGTTCTGCAATTACAACGTCACCTTTCATTTAACATTTTACTTACTCACCAACATAGCGAACTCTGAAAGTATCCACTGCGTCAGCATCAGTATACATTCCGTAGTCGGCAATAAAACTTCCCAGTCAAGTTACACTTTCTCTTCCCTTAGTCCGTCAGAATACTGGTCCGTGTGGAAACACGTACCGCATCGGAGCCAGTCTCTTATTCATTGTCCCAGGGCATTGGAAAAGACTATTAGGGGGCAGGGGTGTTAAGTGGGATTTCAGTGTGTCTGATAATTGTTTGCATGATAATAAGTAGGTGAAATGGTAATGTTTGTATGGTTAAATTATTTCATAAATATGTATGTTTTTGTATGAATGATGATATTGTCTGTATTTATTTTTCTATAATGTTAACTGTGGTTTATTTGGGATTTGCCTTCCTGTTCAGTTGGGCTGTCCCAATTGGTTAATTATTGGTGGGTCTATTTAAGGGGCATACTCACAATGTCTTGGGAGGGCTGCTTAGAGGGCTGCTTGAGGGACTGCTTGGAGGGCTGGTTGGAGAAACTCCTTTGGAAGGTCTGCTTTAAAAAACTTTATTTAATGTCAGCTTGCTGAGAGGCTGTCAGTTTTTTGTATTGCCTGCAATGGCCGGTTTTGTTTTCTTTATTTGAAAGTATTTTGTTTGTTTTGTTTTTTTTTGTCTTCACCATCGCCAGTAAATAAATTGCTACACGCTTTTTAACTGGAATTTTGTCGTCTGCTGGTTCTTACCATTTAATTTTTGCAAGTCATCTGCTTACTCCTCCTCTGACGTGAGACGAGAGCTGGCGAGCCGTTTTTCTCACACATTTGTAATCATCAAAATTAAACAAAATAAACATCTGAAATATATGAGTTTGTATGTAATGTATGAATATAATATACAAGTTTCACTTTTTAAATGGAATTACTGAAATCAATCTATTTTTTCATGATATTCTAATTTTATGACCAGCACCTGTAGAATCCCTATTGGTAAATAGTATACTACTTAAATCTTTTTTGAAGAAGGTGTATAAGATTTTCAATAATCACAACGGAGATAACTCTCTTAAAGTAAAAAGAAAATGGGAATCTGACTAGGGTACAGTAGAGTCTGAGAACTGGGATACCCTGTGAATCTGGTATAAATCAGGTATTCAAGTGTCATTTAACATGTGTGTGCAAGGACTTGCCTATTAGGACTAGTGGATGATATCCCTGTTGGCTTTCGCCACAGAGACCTTTTACACATTCTGCTGCACTGTTTCGGGAAATGTATCTTTGCCTTGTGTACCTCTCAATCAGTGGAAATAAACTGTGACTGGTATCGTTTCATTTGGCATTAAAGGAAAAATGTTTTGTGTTCCATGGATCTATTTCATGACTACCTAAAAGCTGCCACGCAGCAGGTTGAGGTCAGGGCTTATGGACCTCACCTGTCAGCCACCTAGCTGTCTATTATGTTGACTCTTTAGTCAATCTTCTCATAAACCTAAATCTTTGTCTTATTGGATGGTGTATCTCTCTAGAAGGCCTTGCCTTCATGTTGGTAGATAACAAGCTTTTTTAGAGAAGACACAATTCCTTTACATTTTAAAGGGGAAGTAGATGCCATACAAGTCATATTTTATTGGGTCTTTCCCTGAAATTATTTTAAAAAAGAAATCCAACTTACCATTTTGTCTACATTTTCTCCAGATGAAAAATATTCCAAGTGAAAGCAAGACAACAGTAGGCAAGCTGACAGCCAAGCAAATGACTATAGAGTTGGATCTCTCATAGGAAGCTATAAAAGGAAATAAGTCTTCAGTTAATAAATCACATTGTAATGTCCTCATAAACAAGTAACATTTTGGGTGAAGGACTCCTCTATTTATCATATGATCTTCTATCAGTTTAAATGACTTCAATTAACACCTAATTAGTTGCTGGCTCTAATGCTGCCACACCATCAAATAAGAGGAAATTATTCACATCTCTACATTAGAGCCCACTGTCCCTTTTTGTAAACCATGTCGGTATTTTACCCACGCTTCAGTCTGTTTTTCAGGTGAACCATGCGCTATTTATGCTTGATTACCACCTGCAGTTTTTCTATGGTGGTAATAGTGTTTCCCCTCTGCCTATTTCTCCTCAAATCTACAAACATCGCCTTTGTATTGTTTACATTAAAGATAAGAAGACTGATTCTGAAGAATTAAGCAAGCCTCCTAGCAGCTCTGTGCTACATCTTTAATACATTAGGCAACTCTAAAGGTACTTTATAATTTCTGTAGATCACACAACTCTTGATCTTGTACTACTCAGAAAAATGTAATTGTTAAATCAAATCCTGGGGACTTAAGTGTCAATTTTAAAGTGTCATTTTCACAGTAGGCGTTAAACTTTTTTCACACTGTTCATGGTGGTTAACTTCATTGTAGCCACAGCTGTCCTATAGTAACACTAATAGGAAGCTGGGCTTAAAGCCAGCAACCCTCGGTTGCAGAAACCTCTTCCTATGCCACTGTCACCCTATAGCTGTTTCTGCTATTGCTGTTGTTAACAGATGTGTTTTAGCTCTCTGGGCCCACAGAGGTACAGTAGTCCGATATTTAGTAGCGGTCACCAGGGCAAACAAGGAGCTTAAGGCTCCGGCCCAACAATAGCTCTCTACTCAGTAGCTTAGCATATTGCCTGGTAAAGCTAACAACATCACTCAACAAAGCTCCATGTGCTGCTTTCCCGCTCTTTAAGAAACAGAGATTGTGCCCTAACATCCGACCTAATCCCTTTATAAGGCACTACATAGTGGTTACGCTATGAGTGTCCGAACGTCTAGTGGATACAAAAGTTTGTGGACGAGACTAAGCTCAGTCTCAATAGTACATAGAATATCCTACTATATATATCCTACGATATATAAACCATACTAGTTTAAACTGCATCAAAGTGTTGCTACAAAACGTGGAGTTGAAGAGTAACGAAGAATAAATCATCTACAGATCAGACAGTGGGGAAAAGGAAAGTTTCGACCCAGGAACTGCAGCACACTTCAAATGCAGCCATCTTGGTGGTGTTGCGGGACCAGGAAGAAAGACTAACTAGAAAAGTTAACTTTGCTGTCAGAGAAACAGTCGAGGAAATGCTCGCTGGGCAGCACCATCCGTCCGTTGACCCTTTTCTTGGAGCTACTTCGTTACCAGGACAGGGAGAAAATTCTCAATGGAGCCATAGCTCTCTCTTCTGTGCCGACACACCAGGTGTCCAAGAATGGGAAGATGTTGACATCCAAGTTGCTGAACTTAATTTGCCATTACTGACTGATAATGACCCAGAATCCCATGAAACACCACTTACTCTTTTAGAATTTAAAGAGACATTGAGCTCAATGCAAAACTGGAAATCACCTGGCCTTAACAGGCTGCCTCCAGAGTTGTTTTTGGAACTTTGGGATATCATTGCGCTTCTGCTTTTAAATTCTCTTAACCATGCTTTGAATACTGGTTCATAGTATTGTGACCAAAATACATCTCATATATCGGTCATGTTCAGAGATGGGAAGTAACGAAGTACAAATACTTCGTTACTGTACTCAAGTAGATTTTTCTGATGTTTTTACTTTACTTTACTACTTATTTTTATGGCGACTTTTTACTTCTACTCCTTACATTTTTACACAAATATCTGTACTTTCTACTCCTTACATTTTAAAAAATTGGCTCGTTACTTTAGTTTTTAATCATTTCAATGGAGTTACCGTTATTATTTTTCACGTCATCAATACCAAATTCAATCTAATTGGATGGGAATCTACGTTGCATTTGACGCACCACTACAAGATGAATCGACAGATTCGGCGGTATTCATTGGCGGCAAATCATTGCAGCTTGGTGGCGGTGGCGTTAGCATAGTAGCATGGACGACGAGATGATTGAAAATGAACACAACGGAGATCTAGTCCTATTGGCAGACATCCATTTAAAATGTAGGCAACGGCATGAAAAAAGTGGTTTCTACTTTTACTTTTATACTTTAAATAAATTTACAAGCCTGTACTTTGTTACTTTTACTTGAGTAAAGAAGTTTAATCAGTACTTCCACTTTTACCAGAGTATTTTTTAACACAAGTATCTGTACTTTTACTCAAGTACGGAAAGTGAGTACTTTTGCCATGTCTGGTCATGTTAATGAAAGATAAACCATCTTCAAAATGCGGCAGTTATAGGCCGATATCACTTTTTTCAACAGAACTGAAGCTCTTTGCTAGAGTGTTAGTCTGACTGGAACCGTATGTAGGTATGTTAATCCATTGTGATTACCGGTAAACAGTTTTTCTTTAAAGGGGAGACTTGCATCTGACAACATCCAACAACTTTTGGAGCAATTTGGATTTGGCAAAAAATGTATATCAATGATCACATCACTATATACCAACCCTTGTGCAGTAGTACAGACAAATAAGTCTCTGTCCAAGACATGCTGCCCACTATCCCCTCTCCTTTTTGCTTTGCCACTTCAACCATTAGCCCAAAAGATCACATTAAATGCGCACATCTCACCTATTATTGTACAAGGAACACAGCATAAAACTTTCACTTAACGCCGATGACGTAATACTTTTTTTTTATTTCTAAATCCCTACCTCAAATTCTCAAAGTCTTAACCTGGTTCAGCCTGTTTTCTGGCTTTAAAATTAATTAGAACAAATCCCTCCTCATCCCTCTAAATGCCCCTGCAAAACAACTTACTTTACCAACCATTCCACATATTCAATGGTATAACTCCTCATTTACATATCTAGGCATAATTGTAACCAATTTCTTTGCTATATCACATTTAAATTGCAATACATTTAAAACAGCGATTGCATTGGACACTCAGCGGTGCTCTAGTCTCAAGATGGCATTGCAAGGTAGAATTGGGATACTAAAAATGAATGTACTTGAAAATTTGTTCTTCTGTCCAGAGACATATGGGATGTAATGTAAAGCTTTGTGACCCTTCTCCTGTTTGGTATAACTACAATTTATTGCAGCATTCTGGTTCCTGTTTAATTCTAATTGGGCTTCTGGAGGAATTCACACTCTCAAAGGATCTGTATAACAGAAATAGTCTGATTTCACTCCAAGAGCTTAAATAATGTTAATATCTACCTGGGTTTCCATGGTTTCTTTATCTCCAGTTGATATCTGCAATACATGCCCATGGAGTCCCATGGAATTCATCTTTACCCTCTCATCTGTCAGACATTTGGATTTCCTCTCAAACGTCCTCTACTGGATAAGTGTCCATTATCTACAATGATAACAATGACAGCATCATGGGATTTGTTGTGGTAGCGAGAAAAAACATCATGAGGGGAAGTGGAGTCATATCACAAACCGGGAGTGGCCAAAGGGTCAGTTACCTGAGGTACTTATAAAGTTCAATATATAGATCCCACGCTACATAGATATTAAGGGGTTAGGGCGGATGTTGGGACACAGCCAGAGTTTCTTAACTTGAATTCCCCAGATCAACACAAATTCTTTAAGGAGCTACTGTAGCTTTACAAAGATAAATTAGACTAAACCGTTGTTCAAATATTACTGTACTTTAAACATCAAAAAGCAACACTGAAAATCTTACACATTTGGTTTTTCTTTGAAGAAGTGACAATAGCAAACTTTGTTCTGTTTTACTCAAAGTACATTTAAAGATTGAAAAGACACCAAAAGATAAGGTAAAAACACGTTACCTGAAAGCTGGATCTCCACAGCTCTGTTCTGATCCACATGTGGCTGCTTGACTCTGCAAACAACCCTGTGGTGACATTTAAATCACCTAATGTTAGATTTAAAGTCATTTATTTATATAAATGTTGAAGAACTAAAGTGTAAATGTTTAAATATGTCTTTATTAGCCCATATAGCACATGTTTGCTTTGCTTTTTAAGCCTTCTACCATACAATCCTTACTGTACATGCCTTTGTAACATATGTCATGGAGAGATGAAATCATCTCTACCCCCCTGAACTTGCGCTTCTGATATTGTGTCAGCGGACGCTTTCTCACCTCAGGCCCCCAGGAAGTGCTGGGATGGTGGGGGTGTTAGAGTCACGCAGAAGCAGGAAGCAGCAGATTAAATGCTGAGAGCAGTGTTTTTTTCTTCTTGTGTAATAAGTCAGCACCAAATAATCCGTGCTTGATATATTCTGGACAGTTCAAATAAGAGGACTGTTGATGCAAAACACACCTCAGGTTGACTGCCCAAAGAACGATAACAGGAAAGGCCAATTATATTCTTGGTTTTTACTTTGGAGAAACATTTTCAGTCACCCCATATGCTGTCCAATAGACAGTTTACTTGGTGCTAATGGTCAATATTCAGTTCACTGGAATAATAAGATGAATTCACTTCCTAAATTAATAGTTTTCAAACTAAATATTTAAAGTAATTTAGCTCCCTCTAGTGGTATAAAACGTGAATGGGATTTTTTACAATGGACTGTAGCAAACCTGATGATTTCTAGTTGAATCTGTTTAAGTTATTATGCTAAAACTAGTTATTTAGGAATAATGGACTTTTAAAACACGGAGGGGTTGTTCAATGCTTTGATGTTTGATTAATTTAACATATTGCTAGTTCTAGGAAAAGAAATGGAACAGTTGAAGCAAATAAAATCTAAAATGGTCAAAAAGTTGGTATTACAGGGAAGCAAATGAAGACAGAGGATTGGACCACTGTGCCCTTCTAATAAATTTTATCTGCTGTCTTAGTAATCAGTTGGTGGCAGAGTTATACCTTTGAAGGTGACATATACATAGTTGTATCATTAGTAGCCTATACATTTGTCTTTTTCCCTGTCCTGTCCAGTAATTTTAAATAGTATTGAAAATTGGTTGAGTGAAATGACAACGTATTAAGAGATATATTTGTTCTCTAATATTATGTTATTTGTATATAAACATCCTAAATAAACTAAAGTTGTTACCTTTTTGCAGAATCCTGCATGGGGAATGTTTGCTTGGCGTAACATCCTCTCACATTTTGCTCTTGGTTTGGCTCCTCATCAGTGATGATGTCATTTCCCTCATTGTCCAGGATGTTGATCTTTGGCGCTGACATCCAGCAGCTAGCTTGACATGTGACGGTTACTCTCTCATTCTCTATAAAAACCACTTCAAGCTTTGGCTCAGACACTGCAGCTGCACAAAAAAATCAATAAAAAGGTTGTTAAATATGATAATTTGTTATATCTTATGACCACTTTAAAGTCCCCTGTTTTTGTAGCCAAAACAGGATAAGTCAAGGTCATAGACTCCTCTAGACCAATAAACCTACATATGTCATAGTACCAGCAAGATGAAAATCCTTCAATTCCTATAAGTGGCAATATAATTTGGCCTAGTTTAACATGCTAGTCATAAATATGTTTGACTGAAACTAAAGGGATTTTTAGGTAAAGACCACAGGTTCAATGATCCATCTGAAAGAGACCAGAGTCTCAGGGGCGACCCTTCAGAGAAAATTGGCCCCTTTTTGGCCTTTTTGTTTGAAAATGTTCTGGAACTGTCAACGCTTGTAACAGCGAAAATATGTAACAACCAGACATCATTTACTTGATCAAGAGAAGAGGGGATATATAGGATAAACATGACAGAGTGTATGGTAGTTCAAATGGTAGGTTCTCTTTAAGGACAAAAATCAAGACACTGATAGCGATTATCTTCATTTGTCCACCGGACGGGGCAAAAGAAAAATAATTTATTGTCAAGTTGAATTCCACTGCTGTCCACAATTCTCAATACAGAGTAGGGTTGTATAAATACAACCCATCTCAGTTGTATTTATACATATAGTAACATGGTGTGAATGCGTGTGAGTGTGTTTTGGCCCTGGCTACTTTAATTGTGTGTGTGCATGTTAGCCTTAAAGGGATAGTTCGGTATTTTTGACATGAATCTGTATGGCATCCCCATCACCAGCGGCATGCAATCACACTGACTTACCCCTGGCAGCGTCCTGTGAGCAGAGTTCTCGTCCAGTTTTGGTCAAGCCGAAAGTAGTCCGGCAGGTTTGCTAGACCCAGCGAAATAAAACGTTTCTCTTCCCAAAACACTATGTGTTCAAAAGAGTGATATTTTTGCATCCCAAAAACGTTGTAGTGGAAAAAGTCACACGTCGTTATCACTTGGTCCTATTTTCTCTCTGTTCGTATCAGTGCGCGCCGTCATTCTGACAGCGAGCTCAACAACAGCCAGATGCATGTCTCCCTCCGCCTAGCTCCTAGCTGGGCGGAGGGAGACATGCATCTGGCTGTTGTCAGGTTAGTAGGCCCTAGCTGTCTGAATGACGGCGCGCACTGATACGAACAGAGAGAAAATAGGACCAAGTGATAACGACGTGTGACTTTTTCCACTACAACGTTTTTGGGATGCAAAAATATCACTCTTTTGAACACATAATGTTTTGGGAAGAGAAACGTTTTATTTCGCTGGGTCTAGCAAACCTGCCGGACTACTTTTGGCTTGACCAAAACTGGACGAGAACTCTGCTCACAGGACGCTGCCAGGGGTAAGTCAGTGTGATTGCATGCCACTGGTGATGGGGATGCCATACAGATTCATGTCAAAAATACCGAACTATCCCTTTAAGCACACAAAGAAGTCTGTGTTGAAATCTGTGTGACATGCTGAGTTTTTTTTAGATACCTAAGAGAGAAAAAAGATGTTATTGCCAAGAGTTCTGACTCCCTTAGCGTCTGCTTTCCACCCAACTGCCATTGTTCTGTCAGTGAGTGTTTCCTGTTTAAAACATTCTGTCCTCTTAGACCAACAATGTAAAAGACCTTCTTACTGAAACAACATGTTTAAATAGTCATTAAATGGCCTCAAATAATATCTCAAAAAGAAGTGGAATTACAAGTATTTAGCATTTAATTTTTGCCTGATTCTGACCATTAATTTAAACAAAGTAAAAGCTACATACCAACAAGCAGCTTGACGTTTGCAGTCTCTTTAAGTTTATTTCTTTCGAAAATGGAACAGTTGTAGATCCCTGCATCAGACAGTTTTAAGTTGGAGATCCTCAGTGAGACATTCCCATTTTTCACTTCTCTCATGAAGAGGCTCGTCCTGAACTCAAAGTCCACATCCTTCATCCCAAAGGTCTCGCAGCCATCGCGATACAAGAACACGATTTTAGATTTAAGGCCTACTTTAGACCACTCTACCGTAGAAGCAGGGCCAATCCTAGAGGTTTTCAAACTGCAGGGCAGGATGGCATGTCCTCCAGCAAAGGCTTCGACCTTCTCAGGTTCAGCATATATAGAAAAAACACCTTAATGAGAAAAAAACACATGAAAACAGCAGGTTATGATGTGTCCAATTATTTTAAAATTATTTTCTATGTATTACATGGCTGTAATTATGAGGTGGTGTGAGTCCAGGAAAAGGGGCGACAGTGGCATCAGGTGCAGGACTTTTCCCTGCAATCGGAGGGTTGTTGGTATAAGTCCCGTCTCTGGCTTTTAGTGGTGTTGATTACCTCTGGTGGTCAGAGGGCCTGGTGGTGCCAGTGTACGGCAGCCTCACTTCTGTCAGGGCAGCTGTGGCTACAATGTAGCTTGCCAATATTAATGTGTGACTGAATGTAGTGTAAAGCACTCTGATCATGGTTTCCTGACTTGAAAAAGCCCTATATAAGTACAGACTATTTACAAAAATCACAATTAGTGATAAAGAGACTTTTGTACTAGTAATGTTAACTAAGGTTAGCTGCTAATGGGAGAAGCTAAAGACACTTTAGAGAATTTATTCTTTATTCTAACCGTTCGTACTTAAAGTAATAGTCAAATCTGACACACATGTTACAGTACCTTCATATTTAATATAAATAAAGCACGAGTCCTTTAAGATTTTTTTTTTCAGGTCAAAAATAAAAACAAACCAGACTTTGGAAAATTAGACATCACATTCTCCTTTTTTAACTGTAATCATATTTCATGTAAAGTCTTCCAGTGCACTCTAACAACTTTCCCCTGATTTATAACAAATTCCTTCTTTTTGCAGAAATGTACAGTGTTCTTTAAATAATAGAGGAAGCACCATTGACATTTGGCTCCAATCATGTGGCAGAAGATGCTTTTGCCTGAGAGTTGATTTCAGGTGCCTGAAGTTTTACAGTTGGGTTACTTTTAATAATAAAATAAATAATACCTTCAAAAAAATGTTATTCCTATATTCTTTTGTACAGTGTTCAGATTAAAGTACGAGATAGGAGATGTTTTGTATGAGTTGTGCAAAATGGATACTTGGTATAATATAGTCAATATAACCTTAAACATTCCATCCAGTAAACAAAATGCCATCAGATTAGCTGTGTTGAAAACATTATGACCAAACTTAAAGTACCTCTCAAAACAATTTGAGTCAGACCTCTGGAATGCAAATACGGAAAAAAATCAAGTTGTGATGTTATTAGTAAGCAGTTTTTACTGTAACATGCAGGCAAAGCTAAAGATAAAAATAAAAAAAGTGGTCGGGAAGAGGAAAATATTTCTTTTCACATTTATGTGTTCAAGTTAAACAAATCAAATCCTTTAAATCCTGCTAGTTATGATAAATGTGTATAAAAGTTGTCTGTAGAAGATGACCCCATAAAACTATTAAAATGTATTTAAATGACGAAACAAAACTCAGCCAAATATTTGTGAGCATGAACTGCTGCCCTTTGGGAGTCACTTAAGGTCAGTGACACAAACAGCACCACACTGATTAACAGCTTCTTTCATCGGGGGAGTAGAACTACTATAACTCACAAACACACAAACAACATGCAATCTACCTCTCTGCATTTCTTTTAACAATTTCTTATCACTTCAATTTCTACACTTATTAACTAAAATGTAATTATTGTAAAATGTATGTTTTTGGCCTTTTTAAGACTGTTTTAATTTCTGCGGTGCACCCATATTGTTGCTGTGCCTCTTGGCATAATCACATTCTGTCCTATTGATATTCTATAGTTATCTATTAAGACAGGGTAATGTTTTTTCTATCTGTGCATTATGTCCTGAATTCTGTAATAAAAGAACCTATTGTTTTAAAGAAATTACTGTCATGATCTGGCCTGTTTGCTCCTGCTTAATTAGTCTTTCCTTTCACCTGTCATTTTCCCTCCCTGCCTCAATTATAATTTATTCCTCTCACCTGTTTCCTCTGGTTTATATCCAGTTCAGCCTGAACATTCAGTGTCAGATCATTTCTTGTCTTTCTGTCAGTCTGTTTCAGTTTTAGCTCATGGTTCGTGTCCTGGATCCTAGCTGCCAGTGGAAAAAGGGTTTTTGTGTTTGTCTCGTCTCCTGATCGTCCACTGTTCCTCCCCCGCGGAGTCCTCTGGGTTTTTGGCTCAACATGTGGGGAGATTCAGTTTTTATCCAGTAAGCCTGGCTCCAGGGTGGAGACCAGTTTAAAGTCCTGCTTCAAGTTCCGGTTCCAACGTCCTGTCTCGGCTACCCTCTTCCACTGAGCCTGCCTGTCTGCACCTGATCCTGTCTGCTCCTGTGCGTGACCACCATGCTTCTGGTCCCAGTCAGACTCTGCTCCCTCCTGGGAGCCTGTGGATGCCTAGAAGTCTGGATCCTGCCACCTGTTTCTGTTCCTGCCTGATCTGGATCCTGTCTGTTCTGTATGTCCTGAATCCCTGACCAGGATCGGCTTCCAGGATGACCTCAGGGACTGCAGCACTTGGGGACATTCTTGGTCTGGACTGTTAAACCAGGTAAGTGACCAATTCAGATAATCATCTTCTGTCCGATGATCGTGGTCACTTATCTGTGTTTCTCCCACTACAGAGTGTCTGAGATTGGGCGGTGCCCTCCCCCCCCCCCCACCTGCAGTGTCCGAGCCACAGCTCCACTTTAGTTTTTGTTAATTTAATAAACCTTTTTGAACTTTCCTACTGACTGTCTCTCCTTGAATACTGGGTCCATCTATCCCCGGTTCACGACAAATTACTACAGATACAAGCAGCCAAATAAGCTTTGAAAGATGGAGCAACTGAAAAGTTATAAAAAAATTATGCCTCAGTTTTAGAGTGATAATTTTAATCTCACATTTGAAAGCGTTTCCCATTTTCAGATCTGCTCTCCTTCTAGGAAGGAACACATTTTACTTCCTTATCAGCTGTAATATGAGAACCTAATGTAAACATTAGGTTCTCATATTACGGTTAAATGTATGAGCAGAGCTATTCTTTCTGTTTAAAGATTACATTTAGCAGCAATGTCCTGACTTCAACTGTTTACACTGCAGCATTTGTAGGGAATATCTTCCTACTACAAAACAAGTAGGTAATAGTAAATCTTTTCCATTTCAAAAAGCTTGATTTGAGTTTGTCTTTGTTCTCATAGCTCATAATAGGATTAAAGCTGAGGTTTTAATTTAAAGGAAATGTTTAATGCATATTATATCCAGCCTAACAACCTACTTAGACTGCACCAACTACATCTGTTCACTAATTTATAACATACTCACTTTTAGCAAATGAAATAAGAAGCTTTCATGTTTTTTTTTATACATACCACTTGAGTAGAGCGATCCAACCACAAAGCAACGAAACAAATACATCACCGGGTGGTCTGACCTTAAATTCCTCTTATCACAAAATATAAAGTTGTTTAATGAAAAGAAAATCGCATTCATACGCAGCCCTCAGAAGAGCTGCTTTAACTGTGAGCTCACTTCCTCTATCTTCCTTTATACAGGATGTGGTGTGGTTTCTACGTAGGATTGTCTGGCCAGTCACAGCTGCTTTCTTTGGCTTAGCTCTTCCCACTTCCCACTGAACAACATTCTTTTAGGCAAACAATTTTCTTGGGCACGTGGGGAATTCCAGCTCGTTTTACTTGCAGCTTAAAAGAGGTATGACGCATGCAGAACTGTGTCCTAACTGAGCAGTTTCTTAGAGGAACTGGGATTTAATTGTACATTTTACAAACATCTTTCTATGAATTCAAGGAGAAATCTAAAAGAAGAAGTGATGCTTCTCTTTTTTAAAAGCTGAATCAAGATTTATTTTACTGAAAACCTGAATCATTTGTGAAAAATCAAATATATTCTGTAGGTTTGCTTTGAATTAATAAGTATTGCAGTTATAAAATCCTTTCCTACAACTGTTCTTGTTTTCATAAAATGAGCAAACAATGACTAAGCATGAAATTATGCAATAAATGACAAAAAACAATATACTTCAAATGAAAACTAAGAATAGGTCACCAACGAGTCTTTCATTAATGCTTCAGTTTGTCAGAGTAAATCCTAATAAATACATTTTAAATGTAACCTTCATTCCTGAAGTTTATTTTCTTTCATTAATACATAAACAGAATATAGGTCAGATCTCAATGTTTAGGGAGCCTTATGTAGTCATTCATAAGTGTTCAATCCTATTCAACATTTTTCCGTAACTCCAATCTTAGTATCCTGCAACTTTAAGATCCAACACACCTGAACTAAATACAGTGGTATCCATTCAAAACTGCCCTTCCCGCACCAGCCGAATGGCACCCAACTTCCCTGAAACTCTCAGCAGAATTCCCTCCAACTTCCAGCCACTGGAGTGACCCCCTTCTCCTGGACGTGCATTTTTTTTTTTTTTACTCTAACTCCACCCTTTCACTGTATTAGAGTCTGACTAGGAGATAACATTTCACTTTGGATATCAATGTACACAAATCATGAGAGAAATAATATTTTAGTACAAATTTTAATGTTTCAAAAGGAATAGTCGGGGACCAGGCAAGGGCCCTTAAAGGAAAGTGGGGACATTTTGAATGGCTACTACTGTAGCTGATAGTTTGCAGTCAATTCTCCAAAACCCTCTTCATCATATATTACTTGATTCAGGTGTTTTGGACCAAGGAAGCATCTAAAAGTTGCTGGATATCCGCCCTGAAGATCTAACTGCCCACACCTCCAATAAAACCACCAAGCTCAATTCATTGTCTGGAGATTTTAATGAAACAGACCACATTTAACTCCTACATAACATTTTCAGACTTCCTCTGTTTTCGCTCCCAACTCTAGGAGCATCTTAAGAAACTAGCCCCCACCATTTACATACGGAATGACAGAATGGATCTGCAGAAAGATGATGCCCCATAGTGTGCTTTATCCAGGTCAATGTTCTGAACTGAGAAGAGATCATTTTAAATTTCTCTTTCTAAAATATGAGAAAATCTGGTATCTTACCTTTTTCCTCTATCTGGTGCCCTAATCCGGGCCTGTTCCTGTGCAGCCATGATGAGTGCCTCTGTGTTGTCCTTCAGTCTAGCTTTGTTTAGCTCTTGGTAGGATTTCCTGATATCCACCACTACGGTTATTTCTTTGGTGGTAAGTCCCATAGGGGGTAATTCTCCCATGACAGAACCTCTAGCACCTCATCTTCCAGTTGTCTGAGACATTTGCTGAGAACGTCTGTTGGAGCCTTGTCTTCGATGTTCTTATGGATCTTGGATGTCTCATCCTGGACAGTGGCTCTCATGCTCATAATTTTCTGTAACCCCCCCCGAAGGTGCTGTTAAGTAACTTATAATTAAATAATCAAAAATTTATTTTGACCGCTCTCTGTATTTATTTTTTTCAAATTTATTTCATTTGTAAAACAAAGACCAAATTGTATAAAATTCATTTTAAAGATATATTATCACAAGTAATATATGATCACAAGTAAGAAAAAGAAAAAATGTTGTCAGAACTCCCAGTAAAATGAATTTGTAAATGACACAATCTCTTCAGCGCTCTGCTGTGTACACAGAGTGACTAGTGGACCAGTAGGGAAGCTCACTGAGCTATTGGTGTGTTGTTGACTACCCCTTTTAGTAAATGACATAAAAACCAACCAACTGGCCTCTGCGTGTGCATGACGGGATAGTATGGGAAGCTGTCACTTTGGTGCAGTGACCTTGGACTTCAATCAAGTTCATCGAACCTGTCTGGAAAATTGGTTTTTAGAGACATCAGTTCACATTGTGTATAGGTTCATGTTCACAGCTGACACAGTATCATTACAGTGCAGTGTACTGTAAAGATATTTCTGTGCACTGAGAACCTTTATGTACCATTAGCCTTGGGCATGGTTTGAACTTTCTTGTGTGCATTACAGATTGCTCTGATTGGCAATAAGAGCCAAAAGTTCAGTGTCAAAAAACTGTCTGAAATAATCAATAGGCAGCTTAAGTGAGTCACTGCCATCTAAGGATAATCTATGGATAAACGGTTTTGGCTCGGAACACGGGGGGTTCAGTTTTAGTCCCAGAAGCCTGGCTCATAGGATCGGATTCCTGCAGGTTCACTACCATGGTGAAGATTGTTGTCTGCGGGATCTAGCTGACGGTTGATGCAATTGAGGGGCTCCGATTTCAGCCAGCGTCTCTCAAATGCTCCCTCCTCCCACATGCTGTGGTGTAGGGACTTTTTAGTACCAAGTAGTCTTGAGAAACAAAATCTATAAATTCCTTATCTTGTGATCAGCTAAGATGAAGCAGATATAAAAACATGCTAATAGATAACATCTGTAGGGCTTATTTGTTTTAATTCCATTTTAAGCTATTCTAACATTTTAAAGATATTTTAAAGTCAAAAATTAGGATTTTTCTTCAATAACTTCCAGGTCACGTGACTCAGTAACTCTAAACCTGTGTCAAATTGTTCTAATAAAATAAAGGGAGCTGCTGAAACGGGCTGCCTGCTACTCGCTGGCGTCGGAAGGAAGAGTAATCCTAACAGGATACTGGATGGAAAGAAGTTTTTATCTTTAGCCTCTATGAATGAGTCAGCTCTGTCTCAGCAGGTATAATACCCAGCAGATATCCAGATCAGGTTATCCATGTGTGCTAATCTGCCAGGACCAGCTAGCCTTCAGTGTGCCATCACAGGCTACTTATAGAGCTATTAACATTCATGTCATCCTCAAAATGGGGAAATGGAACAGAAACTCAGCAGAATTTAACTCTTCCATCAGATGTGGTCAGTAACTTGTGTCAAAATTTACCACAGAACAAAACCTCCACATTATCATTTGTGCCTGTCACGGTGCTGAAAGTTGCAACAACAAGTATTATGGCAACAAAACAGGTATATTCTTCTATGCAAAAACAATATGAATTCTGTATTGCACTGTTACTCTGAGTCATTAATTACAGTTAGCGATTGTTGGTTAAAATGTGAAAGTTCTTCATATATGTTAACCATAACTCCTAAACCCTTAAGCGCAGAGGGTTTTAGGAGCTTTTTTTGCCTGGTATTGCACATCTGATTAAGTGGGGTTCAGTTTCACAGTTATAAAGTGGAAAAGTATAAAACATAGTCTGTATGACACAAAGTCATACAGTCAAACCTTTATTTCAAAAATAAAAACTGTAAAACACCAATGAAACCGCCTTGGAACTCTGGATGAAGCTTCCGACTGATCCACATCTTAACAATGACTGCACCAAATTTTTACTCAATAGGTTGAAGCATATTTGTTCCACAAAGGTTTTAGTGGACAGTGTGGCAGGTTTTTGGAACAGTTGTTCCAAAAGTGTCATGCTGACCTTAATTGTTCATTCTATTCTCCTGCCTAATTCTGCCTTGTCTCCAATTATCACTAATCTTATCCACCTGCGTCTGTCCCTTTATATTGGGCTCAGTTTCAGCTATCAGGGCAGATCATGACGGAAAGTGTCCAAAATGTGCCAAATGTGTTTCTTGTTTTCTAAGTAAAAGGAATCTTGTCAAATGAAAAGGCTGATTTCTATGACATGGCTATTTCTCATTATACACAGCATATCAATAAACTGAATATAAAATTAGAAGTATCATTTTTTTTCTGATTACAAGATACTATTTCACACTATAAAAAAACAGCCTGAAAAAAAAAAAACTATATATGTTGTTCTGCTGAAACAGTAATGTATATAAGGAAAGTGTGGATAATGTAAAAGCTTTAAAACTTCCCTTGCCTCTCCGGCTCTCCACAACCACTATTGAGCATTTTTTTCTATGGTTAAAACTTTACATGCACAAGTTCACCCTCACAAACAACTACAGGTGCTAGGCTTCAGGTACTTAGAGATTCACTTCCAAACAGAAACCCCACATTCATATCTTCAGGTAACACAGAGTACATGTCAGACTTAATAATATTACTTTAGTGATAGTTTCAAGGTGTTTGCTTTATTGTATATCTCGTACCATGTTTTTTGGTTGTGCTGTTCTTTTTTCTTTTTTTTTTTTTTTTTCTCCATCTCATTACAGGTGTTGAAGCAGACTGAAAATGTTTTGTCATTGTCTCCTTCCTATCTCCTCTTTCTTTCATCTTTTGTCCTGTTTTTTTCTTTTTCTTTTTCCTTCTTCTTCTTCTGTTTTTCTGCTCTACTTACATTGCAGTGTCCATATGAACTGTAAAACTCCCTGCATAATTATAATAAAGCAATTTATATACATGAAACAAGTGGAGCGGTATGGCAATTGCGATACCGCTACACTTGTGAAAGTAAAATCTGTTGGGCTCCTTTTGGCATCAAGACAATTATTCTTATTGCCACCTTGCCAGACAGGACACTGTAGAAAAAAAAAAAAAAAAAAAAAAAAAAAAAGAAACTTCCCTAAAATGATTCCAAATACAGTTGTGTTGAGGAGTGGGTCAGAAACGGGAGTCATTGCAACATCAGTTTATTATCAGATCAGCATTATTTCTC